TGAACTGTTCTAAAAGATTCCGAATTCTTTTTTCAAAAATCGTTGCATTCTTCCTCTCCATATGACAGTTTTATCCTGGTATTCTTAACTTAGCATAACTTCATTTACAATCTCTTCCAAAGTTACTTTTGTTTCGATTTCGACGTCTAAACTTTTCAGTTCGTTGATTTTTTTCAATTAACTGTTCATACAAATCCTTGATTGTTTCAATTTTCTCATTTAGCAGAATATTATTTGCTAAATTCGTTTCGACTTTGGTTATCAGTTTCGTTGTTAATTGTCTTAAAACCGATCGTTTCTTTTTCAATTTTTCAAGAACGCCCTCCATTTTCGAACTATTCAGTCTGTCGATTTTCTGGTTCGTAATAGTCCCGGGTTTTGGCACCATAAACAAAATATGTGTAAGTCTCTAATAAATCAGACTGGATCGAATGTAAAGTAATAAACAGAGGAGCGTTATTCCACACAACGTTTATTGACGAACACCAAAGACGAACTGATACATATACATAATTATAAACATCACAGTTTCTTTTTACAAACACTACCGCCATCTATTGGCAATCTAAGGATACATAAGCTTAAACTTAACACCGTTCTCTCCTGATCTCTGAACAGTCGAACACATTTGGGATGTGATTAGACTCCGTTTGCAGACCCTGCCATTGACACATTCAGAAGATGAACTGTGGCAAATGGTTGACAGGGAATGGAGAGCCATTCCTCAGAACACCATCAATTGTTTTTGTACCTAGATGCGTTGCTTCGTGTATCATTGTCCAAGGTGGTCCTACAACCTAATGAGCCAATGCTGTTCTCTGTATTGTGCATATCATTTCAAAATAAAGATCACTTATTGTCCTTTGCCATCTCTCTCTGTTGCCGAATTTCATCCTTTTTAGTGTTGCATTTTCAATGTTGGGTAGTGTAGTTTTATGTTATGGCCACTTTCACGTACTCATTTGTCAGGTGAAAGACTTGACAAATTTCAATACACATTTGTCAGGTAAAATTTGAATGCCATATAATTTTCTTAAAAAAATTATATGGCATTCACCTCTAATTAAAGATTGATAACCACATATTCACAAAAAAGCAAGAATACTTTTAGAAAACCAATGCAAATTCAGAAACCTTAGCAAAACCAAAATATGATGCTAATATAAGAACATGTGGCAAAGGCAAAAATGTAACACAATGCTACACATGGCAAGATTTTGGCAACATACCTCATTGATTAGAGATTCAATCTCGGGGACTCTATAATAAGGAAGTACCAAAATTGCTTGTTTAAATACCATTAAATATGCTTGCTGTATTTTAACTAAGCTCAAGTCACAGGCTTTATAATTCTTACTGTTTAGTTTACATAATGTAAATATGTCTGAAGAAATGTTTGTTTTGTTTCCATATTAAATGCATTTATGAGTAGATATCCTTTGTTTCCATATTATATACATTTATTAATAGATATCTCTTACTGACATTTTTTCAATCAACTTCTAGATTTTTGTTAGCACCCCGTGTGGAGATCTGAAATAGTACCCCCCTTGCAAAAAAATAAATAAATAAATAAAATAAAACTTCAGAGAATTAAATTTCTGATAATTATCACATTTGCTTACATATTTCTCTCCCTTTATTTTACTAATTTTACCTCTTGAAAACTGAGAGAAGAGTCAAAAATAAAGTCCAACATTAAGAATCAACGTAAATTTTTAAAAAATTTTTTGCAGTACTAGTTTCAATAGTTTTTGAACTACGTTCTTCAGCTGCTAAGTGCAAATGAACCAAGTAAAAGTTCATTTGGTTCATTTATAATCCTAGGAAATTAAGGATTAGGTGTATGAGTACACTTGTGTGAAAAAATTAAGGATGAGGCAGAGGAATTAGCGTAAAAAGTGAACAAGGCAACAGAATGGACCAAAAGACCAATTGGGACATAAACTTAAGACAGGTTCATTAGCATATGCACATATATAGCACATGATACAGGGGAAACAGTGTTGGAAGGGTTTAAAATACATGAGCATTGTATACTCAGCAACTCGGTGAAAGCTGTTGCATGTTTAGTGATTTCAATGAAGTTATGTTGCCCTACAGTGTGATACAGCCACTTGGAAGTTGAGGAAGAAGGAAGAGTTGCAATCTAAGGTTGCTTCATTGGAAAGTTAGAAGAAATTTCGAGCCTGAAGAGCATTTCAAATAGCAGGAGCAGCTGTGGTCATCCGTTATTAAGAACAGCTGACGACATCTGGTATATTGTCCTACGGGCAAGAAGAAATTGGCAGCAGACTTCAGGTGAAATCACAAGGCATATGCAACAGACTACTGAATGTCCACTATTACATTTTATTGCTGCCAAACAGATATACGAATGTGGTCTTCTTACACAACACTATGAGTGAGGTCGAGTTTTGTATGGATTAGAGCCAATTTAGTCTGATGAGCAATTCTTAGTAGCTGCCAAACAGATATACGAATGTGGTCTTCTTACACAACACTATGAGTGAGGTCGAGTTTTGTATGGATTAGAGCCAATTTAGTCTGATGAGCAATTCTTAGTAGCTTTCACTTTGACCTCCACATCTTTGAAGAAGGTTGAGTTTTAAGGTGCCCGCTGATGTACCGAGGTTCTGCCTCACATGCATTTAGGGGTACTTTGAGTCCAAACTTCCTCTTTGTGAACGTCAATGCAACATTTCATCATACAATAGCATTCTTAGAGAGTGAAGATATTCAATGCATGGATTGGTCTGCAAGGTCCCCAGACCTAAATCTTAAAAAAAAAAAAAAAAAAAAAAAAAGGTGGGAACTTTTGGGAGACGCTTGGCAGCACATGACTAGCCACCAATAACGGTTCTGCAGTTAAAATCGGTGCTGTAAGAGGAATGGACCACAATGCCTCAATAGCTCCTTGACAACCTTGTCTTCAGCATGGGCAGAACACTAATTCTTGCATCACAGTCAGAGGTGACCTATCCCTTTCTAAAGACTGGATTTATCTTAGTTTGGCATCTCAACCTGGAGGTTTCTATCTTATGCCCAGCTGTGCTCGCAGCTACCTTTTTGATAAAGTGGATTATTATTCTTTTGATTCCTTGCTTGGATGGTTTGGCTCACTTGTCTCATATTTCCACATCTTGGGGATCTTACAGTATGATATGGGTCAATGTGAAATACTTCACAACTTTACATTTAAAAAAAAAAAAAAAAAAAAAAAAAAAAACTCGTCTTTAAATTTTCCACTCCAGTGCATAAAGGCTGCCAAAAAATTGAGGTAACAAAAGTTCTCATTGGTTTAGGTGCATAGCTAGAGGGAGGTAAAGGAGGGCATCTGTCCTTGGGTGCAACCTCTGGGGGTGGGTGCCAAATTGATGTTATAAAATTTTAGAATTAAATATTTTCCATTCTTGGCAAATGGGAGGGGGCATGAAATCATCAGTTGTCCCTGGGGACTAAAAACCCTAGCTGCAACTCTGCATGAGTTTCAAATCTTATTATGTATCCGTATGTTACTGGTAATGTAAGAAATGTCAGTATTTTCTGGAATACATACCTAGGCATTTTTGGCAAAGTATGAAATGTGAGAATTGTTATGTACTTTCCGTAAATGTTATGTATAATACCTAGGCGTTCTCTAGAATGACAAGTGCTATTTAGGCAAAATATGGAAAAAAAGGTCATGACAAGGTTATAGAAAGAATATGCTCATTTCATGCTTTGCTTGTTTGTTGTGTGGCATTCTATAGAATACTTTGGAAATGTATGAAATATTAATCATTTCATACATTGCAGTCCCGTTTTCAGCATACTTCCTTTTGATATAAAGCATAGTAGAATGCTATGCACTATAGAATGCTAGCTTTCATACATTGCAGGTTAACAGATGTATCTCTTTGTGGATTAAAATTTATCCCTGAGATAGAGCCTGTTATTTTACTTTTAGTTTTGTCATTCTTATGATGACACGTATTACAAAGTCCTAAATCTGGATTGATCTAATATCCAGACCTCTGGATCATCAGCTTTTTTTTTTTTTTTGTTTGTTTGTTTTCAAAATTCAAAATTTATGCATAATAAAATGCAGGTGTTCTCCAGAAAAAAAAGATGTGTATCAAAACAGTAAATTTTCTCCTGATTACCTGAGATTCCCACATGTCACTTTCAAAAAATTGCTATGTTAGGGAATCAACCATGGCCAATGATAATACATTGACTGAAGGTAACCATGACCACACTTGTGGCCCTTGAGTGCTTGTGACGGTATGGAGCGGGATTAAAATTTTTCTATCTTACCTAAACAATAAGTGAAGCCTCAAACAGGGTGTTGTTCATACTGTTTTTTGTTCATTTGCATAACAGCAGGAAGAGAGAAAGAATTAAATTTGGAAGAAATTTAGTTAACATAGCAAATTATGCTCTTCCTTATCTATTATTCAGCTTATTATTTTTTGCCACCTATCATTATTACAAATATGCTAAAATTAAGGTTTGAACATTATAAAACATTCTGATATGTTGTATCTGTGATATTGATGAAATGAAGTTTTTCGGCATTGCAGGTTGATGTAATCTCAAGTTCTCATTTGTTTTGTAAATACAGTTGAAGGCTATTATCTGATACAGTAGGGTATCGGGTTATTGTGAATATCGTATAGCATGGAACCCACAAACCAAAACATTATGTTTTATTTATACTTGATGCAATAAAAGATTAATTACTGTACAATGAAATCAGTATATAGTTATCTCAGTACATCTTTTTAGTGCAATGTTGTAGAAAAGTTGTTTCGTAAAAAAATAATTTGATCCATTGAGAGATAAATAAAAATTGAACTAGAAAAGAAATGTATTGTGATGGCCTTTTAAGGAAATAATATACGTAAATATGTACGAATTAAATTTTCTTGGTATGTTGATAATGGAGATACTATTATACCTTTAAATTTCATTTAGATTTTATGAGCAGTTGCTGTATGGATTTATTAATATTTTAGATGAGGAAAAAATGGATGAAGATGGTGAAGAAGTTGCTCATGCATTTGGTCCAGAAGAAACTGTATGTATTGAAGATTTCACATCAGAAATCTTTTATATATTATCATTATGAGAATCAGTATAATTCCATTATAACAATAATTATAATACTGATGTTAATAATAAAGCATTTCAGTAAATTTTAATTTCCAATAATTTTGTTTGCTTATTATCCATAATATATATAAATATCGTTATTTTTCCATTAAAGCCAAATCATGCATTTTCAGCATCATTTTGACTTGTTTCTTTACCCATGTTTCTGTCTTGATATTAGATATCCTCTGCTTTATTTTTTCAAGTTTTCCCCCTTGTTTATGAAATTTTTGTTCATAAGTTTTTCCTTCTCCCTTGCTTTCTAATAGCTTCATTCTTGAAATCATCTCACCCCCCACCACCACCAAAAAAGGAGAAATGTGAAACAGATATAGAAAAAGGCACTTATATTTATTGCTTCTAAAATAACTAAATAACATATACAAAATTAAAATAAAAACAGTAAATAATGAAGTTTGCACTAAAAAAGAATCATACAAGACTAAATAACAGACATAAAATTAAAAGTTGCTTTAGCAACAGGCATAATATTAGAAATGGCATTTAGCATAACAGAAAACATTTCTTATTTGAAATGCAAGGTTTGACACCTCATGAATTTGAATAAATAAGTCTAACTATTGGTGAATTGTACTTTCTCTATAAGCTGAGAGTCTTTAACTATTGGTGGATAGCTCTTTCATATTTCTTGCACTAACAAGCGTTCAACAAATTGTATATGACACCTAGTGTTTGGATCAATGAAATCATAAGAACTATTGTAATCTCTCCACACTTAGAAGAAACTTGGCCTTCCCTTTTAGGAAGAGAGTTAATTTTTACTGAGAGGAGAAGTGCAAAGAATGTATTCAAGATTGCAAATGAATGAATCCAAATTATATTGTTATAAAGCATGTGCTGTTAATCCCAGTTTACTAATACAAAGTGCTGGGATTGCCCCATGTGATGTAGATGTGGCCAAGTCTCTTATCGTTGTGCGTAGACTATATTGAAAAATATTCCAAATCCAAATTTCTGATTTTTAAATTTTCTATAAAATTTCTTACTCCAAAAAGAAAAGAAAAGAAATCTATAAATATTCAGATTTTAACATTGAATCAAAGCTTTTTTATGCTTTTGCTAAGTATGCAGTTAACCTGTTCATTGTTGAGTTCTCTTCTACTAATGTAACTTTTTTTGTGCTAACAGTTACCTTACATTCTTCTTTCTTCTTCTTCTCCCCCCCCCTCAGTTTTATCATATCAGTGTTCAATTTTCTTAAAAGATGACAAACTTTTTTTTTATCTTTTTAGCTTTCATTATTAAAAATCAGTTTTTCACTCTCATGCTACACAAAATTCAACTGCAAAATCAAAAGATTTTTAAAAGCAACATATGTTTAGAATTCTTAATATAGTGTTAAATATTGAAATTAATTTTTTCAATCTTTTCTCATTTCGTCATATCATATTGTTTTTCTTAATAAGATGAGTTACACATTTTTAGTATAAAGGGGTGAAATAGTTTATTATTGAACAAATAACTATATTTATTATTGGAGTGGCAACGCCATATTTGTATCATGTAACCGTTGCTTAGCAACGAAAGAAATTGTTAAAAATTGTAATTCTGGAAGTTTTACCAGCTAGTAGATGTATGAAAAATTTGTAACTAAAAGATTGTATTCAAATTATATATCTCCATAAACTAAAAATAAAATTTATGTTTTAATAAGAAGATCGTCTGTTATTTTGCGTTGAAAACTTTAAAAGGTTGTATCACTCTTCAAATCATTGCCACCAATTACTATCGCCCTGTATTATATTTGAAGAAATTAACTAATGAAGAATCTGCATAAATGTATGTATGTCTCTCACATTGTGATAAAACAACAGTACCTAGAGCCATACAATTTTGAATGACGTAATCCTATTGCAAATATGGGCATCTAAAAGCCCAAATTTGAAATTTATTTTATTATTGATTTAATATTTTGTAAAACTTTAAGGAATTTTTTATTAACAAACTCAACGATTTAAAAACGAGCAATGGCAACACTCTACGGGGGTGGAGACATTTTTATCTCCAGTGCGCGGAAATGTGTATCAGAAATTCTAAAGATATGCTCATTTTAAAATTATTTTGTGACATTGCTATTGAACTGAATTTTATGGTTTAAGTGTAAAGAACATATTTAATAAATAAAGGTGACGCGCAAAATGTTAAAACGCTCCTTTGGGTGTAATTTAAAATCTTAAACCTGTCAAATTTTTTTATATTTTTATTTTGTTATTATTATTAATGTTTTTTTTCTTTAACTTTAGTCCTTAAACATCACTTTCTTCACACTTAAGGCACATAAAGCTGAACGCGAAAATTGCTGAATATTTAAAAACAACCTATTTTTAGAATTCCCAATAGTGTTTTAAGTGTTGCCATTTTTTATAATTGTCATATTTCCTTAAAAATAGTGCATGGCAGTAACATTTGGTAGCAACATCTTTCTGTTTGTGTAGAAGTATTGGGAGTACAAATAAGTCTCCACCATTTTTTATGAAAAATTGGGCATTTATTGTGAAAAAAATGATACATTATGTTTTATTCAAAGTATAGTTCACTACTTTTTTCCATCTTTCTGGCAGCATATGGATACCATGTCGGAAGAATGCTTCATCTTTCAAGGCTAACCATAAATCAACCCAGTTTTTTGTATCTTCATATGATGTGAAGCAATGTTTGGACAGACCATGTGTCATCAATTGAAACAAGTACTAATCAAAAGAAGCAATGTCTTGTGAATACAGCAGGAGGGGGAAACTCCTCAATCAAATGTTTCCGAATAGTTTTTTTTTCCAGCTCCGCAACATGTGGATGAGCGTTATGATGTAGGAGAAGTTTTGTCATGTTTGGAGTAGTAGGGGCCACATTTTAATTTGAGTGTTCAGCTCAATCTAATCAACTGTGTACAATAGAGAGCTCCAATAATAGTTTCGTTCAGTTTGAACAATTTGTAATACATGATACCAAGTTGATCTCGCTATATACACAGTGTGATTTTTTTTTTTTTTTCTATGAATATTCAACTTCATTGTCGATGTTGAAATATGGCCAGGGGATTTCTTCTTCTTTGGGTTATTGTAATGGATCTATTTTTCATCACTGACTATACAATGCAAAAAACAAACCTTTCATTTATGCCTGGTAAGCAGCATTCCATGTGTAAAAAATTGGCATTAGACATTTCTCAGTTACATTTCATATGGAAATCAATTTCCTTGCTTTTCAGTCATACTCAATGATTTTCAATTATGTGAAATTGCTTGTTGAATCAATCTGTGCAAGTTTTGCTTTTGTTTAGCAGTGAAATTGGAAGCATCCGATAATGCTTCCAATTCCACATCTTCATACACTTTCATCCTTCCACTCCATTCTTTCTCTTTGATATCAAGTTTGCCATTTTTAAACTTTTGAAACCACTCACAACAACTTCTGTTACTAAGGCAACCTCACCTTATGCTTCTGCAAGCAATCGATACACCTCAGCTGCAGAGTTTTTTCAAATTAAAAAAGTAATGTCTAAAGTAAATCAAAAGTTCCTGCAACTTATGTACATTTTTTCAAAATTTGATGTTTCCAGACAAAAAAAAAAAAAAAAGTATGATGCTGTTGTAGGGATTTATATTTATTTTAACTATTAATTTAAAGTTTTATTTGAAATTTTCCTATAAGGCTTCATTTCTATAATTGTCAGTGCCAGAATAGTTAAATGTTATCGCGCGAGTGAACGAATGCAAATTTTCTATTGTGAAGGAAGTAGTTAAAAGCCGAGTTTCAGTAGGAAAAAGAGAGAGGCTCTAGCTGCTGTCTCTGCCGTAGGTACGTTTGCTTATTGCTGGTTCAAGTGGCTTAATTGTATTGCTTTGTTGCCACTAGTTTAGAAGGGAGTTGAAATTACGGGATCTCGCTGAACCCTGTAGGCTAGTTTTATCACTTGTTAATATTCCAGCTTTTAGTTTCAATTATCTGACCCAGTTACCATCCAAGTAGAGGCGAAGTTTGTTAGCGCCGAGTTGACACATTGTAAATTTTAAAGAGTTAATAAATGGTACGTGAACCCTTCTCCTCTGTAGTTTTCTGCTACTCCAGTATATAGATAGAAGTTAATCCACCTGGACTCTACAGTGGCACCTGAACTAAAAAGGGTATTGGATGATGATTCTCCTCATCCAGGATTTGGCGATTGGGTTCCCTAAAAACCCCAGTCGCCCTTTAAAAAAAGGGGGAGTATATAAGGTATTTCTACCACCTTCCTAGAGTGCCTTCGTGGTGTGGCACACTGGGCCAGTATTCCAGAGGTCCATGGTTCAATTACCGGCAAAGGCGATTGCTCAATTTTCATCTTGTCTGCTTCCCCCCCAAAAAATACCTAATGTCTCTACACTTACAAAATTGCAAAATATGTCAAGGTTATGTTGTTAGCAGATGTCCAACCTTACAATAAGACATTTTACATCAGACAGTTTTAACCAAAAAGTACTAGTGGCACTACTTTTTGTCAAAGAGCAAAGACTTCTTTTTTCTCCCAATAATTTTTTTTAATATTCGCTATGTGATTTCTTTACATATTTTTCTTTGAAAAGTGATACACACAAAAAAGAGAGGATTAAGACTAATAATATGTCTGGTTCTGAAAAAGAAAAGAAAAAGGGGAGTGTGATTAGATGAAAAGCAAAGCATGGTTGTAAAAACGATTTTATCACCAGAAAAGAAATCAAATCAAACTTATGATGCTTAGTGTCAAGAAAATATGCCAAAACAAAAAATAAGTCTGTTAAAACAACTTCATAGTTATTCATACTTAAAGCAGGTACAGTATTGACTCAAATATAAAATGGCTTTACATACAAGATTAACCTAGTTTTTAAAATATTTTACGCGAATAGAAAAAGGCTTATATCTGAAAATAACTGTATATGTAAGGTTTTA